GACATCATTCTCCTCTCCCAACTGAAAATTCCAACTGCCTTGCGGGGGGGGGGGTGAGTTTGAGGTGTGGAATGGAGTGTAGTTCAATCAGCTTCCATATGTAAATGACCTTGGAACGCTGGCCGGGACTGCACAAAGCAGCCAATGAACCCAGCCAGTGTCTTCCGAGTGGCAGTTTTTTCGGCCTAACACTAAAGGGGCCAATTTTAGAATTCTGGCACCCACTACTCTTTTATAATAAGGAAGAGATGGTTCATGCAGCGCAACAGTGAGGTCCAAAAAGCCAGAACAGCATTCCATGTGAACTGTCCATGAACCTCAGTAGGTATCTCAGAATGTCTTGCAGTGCACAGAAGCTCTGCAGGAGACATGATGGGGTTCTGCAGCAGTCATGTGAATGAGGAAACAGGTTCCATTTCTGAAGGTAGAAAGTTTAAAATCCAGTAGCTTATAGAAAGATTGATATATGTTTGTCACAAAAAAATCCTCTGATAGAGGGAATGGATAAAATTATGTTAGAATTGCTTGACGTAATTCTAATGAACGGCCAGGAGCTAAAAATCTGTCTCCATATAGAAACAGTGGTCAGCCATGTTCTGTGTGAAAACAAAATGGGTTGCAGTCTATCCTGAGTTAAGCATTGTAAAGGACCATTGATTTCAGGGAAGATAATTAATCGATGTTGTATTCTCCATTTGGAAAAAGATTTAATTCAAGCTGGATTGTGACTGTGTACGCTACAGCAGTAATAGATCTTTATACCTGTGTTACATTCATATTGGAGCTGCAGTGGCTCAGGTGGTTAAGATGCTGAACTGCAGGCTGTGGAAGGTCAGTAGTTCAGCAGTTCGAGACCCGAGTGTGCCGTATGACGGAGTGAGCTCCCGTCTCTAGTTCCAGCTCCTGCCAACCTAGCAGTTCAAAAGCTAGAAATTGCAAGTAGATAAATAGGTACCACTTTGGTGGGAAGGTAACAGCGTTCCGTGCGCCTTGGTGTTTAGTCATGCTGGCCACATGACCACGGAAACGTCTTCGGACAGCGCTGGCTCTTCGGCTTTGAAACGGAGATGAGCACCGCAACCCTAGAGTCAGACTCGACTGGTTTTCGAGCAAGGGAACCTTTACCTTTACCTTTACCTTTACCTTACATTCATATACATTTAGCAAAAAAGCCTTTGTTAAAGTTACTATTTTTATTAAAAAGATAACTTTTTTGTTACCAAGAAGTGTAAGCTTTGCCAAAATGTTTGGTTTTGATTTCCACTTCACTGAGGTTATTTTATAGCATAGTAAAGCTGCCATGATATTTTAAACATATTTTCATTTAAGACAGCACCCATTGTTATAATATTGTTTATAATAATAAAACTCAGAGCAGCATATGTGGTAGAATACCACACAGAGACACACCCCTTTTATCTTCACAACAACCCTATGAGCATGGCTTTTTTCTGGGGGAATGCACCAGAACAGAGTTCCGGAACCTCTTCAACAAAATGCTTTTAAAAATGTTTAAAAGTTTATGAGTTTTCAGTATACAGAAACTTCATTTCGCTCATGAGAGTTCCAGGAAGAGGAAGAGGAGGAGGAAGAGGAGGAAGAGGAAGAGGAGGAAGAGGAGGAAGAGGAGGAGGAAGAGGAGGAAGAGGAGGAAGAGGAGGAAGAGGAGGAAGAGGAGGAGGAGGAGGAGGAGGAAGAGGAAGAAGAAGAGGAAGAAGAGGAAGAAGAGGAAGAAGAAGAAGAAGAAAGCAGCCCTCCTGTCTATGAGAGAGGCTACACTGAGAATGACTAGCCTCAAGGTCAACCAATAAACTTTATAGCTGAGCAAAGATATTTTTAGTCATAGTCAAAATCTCCATCCATCACACTGGCTAAATGACTGTTGAACATTTACTAATCTATAGTCAAAGATTTCCAATAAAAAATAATCTTCCTGTTTAGTAATGTGAATAAATGCAAGTTTTATAAATGAGCCAATCTCTCATACCCATCATATAACGTCTCCTTTTAAAGATTGCTAATTATGTCTGAGGCCACAGAATGATAGTAAGACAGCTATTGAGAGCTTTGCTTTTTGAAAGAGTTGAAATATTTACTTGATTTTGTAGGAATTTACTGTAAAGGTAGGGTAGAAGTACAAGTTGCGGAAGACGGAGTGCTTCCACAAAAAACAGTGTCCCCATGTTGTGCCCATCTCCCATTAACTTGCAGAGAAATTCAGTGTTCAAGGTGAGACCATCATGTGTGTTTCCCAGCCCCTGCTACACATCATGGGCCGTCACTAGCAAGAGGAAGGGAAGTCACAGCAAGCATGATAATGGCACATCATGGGCTGAATTTCTCTAGACCTTCAGGGAGACATGATGTCAGGATACCCTTTTCTGTGGCAGCCCTATAACATCTTATTCCACCTTTTAGGCTGCAGATTTCTTAAAAAGCTGGTTAACAGTCTTCGTTTCCTCTAAGCTGAGTTAGTGTGAGCTAGCTCACAGTTTTTTAGCCTCTGGCTCACACATTTCTGTCTTAGCTCAGGAAGGATGGCTCCAGAGCAAACTAATTCATGCAGTAGCCAAATCACTTGCACACAGCTTTAATGCCAGTAGCTCACAAAGTAGATTTTTTGCTCACAAGACTCCACAGCTTAGAGGGAACATTGGTCTTGACGCTATGAGACAATTTGCTGAGGTGGTACCTCATAGGTTTGTATTCCAGGGTCTTAGCACTGGTGCAGAGCAGTACTGTATCTTCATGCTGGAACCTGGATTTGACCTAAGCCCTGTGCAAGAACTGGCTCAGAGCAGCAACATTAGTGTTCCCACTCTAGCCAATGCAATGGCCATGGCTCGCTCCTCCTTGGTGTAGTGACGGTGGTTTCATGGGAAACAGGACAGAGTTCTCACTTTAGCATCTTTCTTCAACTACATTGTGTTAATTGCTCCATTCTTCATGTACATTTTAAAGGAACAACTACAACTTGTGGAGTAATGGGCCATTATTCTTTGATGTGCTTTTTAATGGAGTGCATTATTTCCATTCAGAAGAACCCCAGCTTCGTTCCTGACATCTCCAGTTGAAAGGCTTTCAAACGCCTGGGTACCAAAAGACCTCTGCCTGACCTTAGAAGGCTGCTGCCAGTTAAAGTGGCTTTGGACTGACTACACAGTCACTTCTGCATTCAGTTTTCTGCGTTTCTTATGATATCTGAAGGCAGAACAGGCTATAAATGTAAAAGCACTCTATACATGTTTCCTTCGAGTGCCACAAGAAGCTCCATTAGATGTATATAGCAGTGACTGCACGTTGGGCAGTGGTCCTTCTTCAGTGATGTCAGATATCACTCAGAGTAGATGGACCTGGGATAGCTGAAGCAGTAATCTGAGTCGGTATAAAACAACTCCTTATCTGTCTGAGAGAATGGCAGCAACAGTGTGGCTGTTCTCCCAGGAATGGGGAAAATGGATGGAGCAGTAACTGCTTGGGAAGCTAGAGGCTCAGCAACTCCTGCAGGGTCAACACTCAAGCAAACATCTCATAAGCATCATAAGCCTACATTATGTCAACAGATGTCTGTAAAAATGTAAAATAGATCAATCATGGATTTTATTCCAGCAGCAAGGATTTTACCTTCAATAATTTGGCAATATATACTAAGTATCTCCTGTGTTATTAGTGGAACGTGAACCATCTTCTGAGACATCTCATCATCCAGTGTAAATGAATATAGGCACTTGTATATATGTGTGTCCATGTGTGTTGGTATTTATTTTAACCAGTTAAAGCCATAGCAATGTGTCTCTTCTTTGAATAACATGTCTTCATTTAATAAATGTGTATATCTAGTCATATGGGATTTATTGTCAATATCCTGTTCATTTTGTAAACATATGTATCCACAAATATAAGTTGGCTTTAAATTTAGATGTTGTTTATAAACAAGTTTTTTACATTTCCATTTTTCAAAGACATAGCATAAATCAGAACTAGATCTTCAGGAGCATAAAGTAAATAAAAGCCATCTTCCCATTAGAGTAGAGTCTATTTCAGGATGAAATTGTTTGCTTTCAAATGAAGATAATTATGTTTTGCTTTCTGGCTCAAATTATGGCATAAACTTACATGTGTTTTGTTTTCTGTCTTCCTAAATTAGTTTGGACAGCAGAATCAAGGTATTTGGCAATGGGACATTGGTTGTCCATTCCGTCACTGACAAAGATGCAGGAGACTATCTCTGTGTGGCCCGCAATAAGATTGGAGATGACTACGTGGTCCTCAAAGTGAATGTGATGATGAAACCTGCAAAAATAGAACACAAGAATGTGAATAACCATAAAGTGATGTATGGTGGGGACCTGAAAGTTGATTGTGTAGCCACAGGTCTGCCAAACCCTGAGATCTCCTGGAGCCTTCCAGATGGCAGCATGGTCAACACTTTGATGCAATCTGATGACAGCGGAAGCCGAGCAAAGAGATATGTGGTATTCAACAATGGAACACTGTACTTCAATGAAGTAGGACTGCGAGAAGAGGGGGACTATACCTGTTATGCTGAGAACCAGATTGGCAAAGATGAGATGAAAGTACGAGTCAAAGTAGTGGCTGAGCCTGCCAGTATTAGGAACAAAACATTTACAACTATCAATGTCCCATATGGAGATGTGGTATCTGTAGGATGTGAAGCCAAAGGTGAGCCCACACCTAAAGTTACCTGGTTGTCTCCAAGCAACAGACCCATCCCACTTCTGTCAGATAAGTATCAGGTGTACAGAGATGGGACACTTCTCATTCAGAAAGCCCAAAGATCTGACAGTGGCAACTACACATGTATTGCTCGGAACAGTGCCGGGGAAGACCGGAAAATTGTCTTGATCCACATCAATGTCCAGCCTCCCAGAATCAATGGGTATTCCAGCACCATCACCTCAGTCAGAGAAACAGCTGTGAAAGACAGCCGTAAGCTGGTTGACTGCAAGGCAGAAGGCATCCCATCTCCACGGGTCATGTGGGCCTTTCCAGAAGGAGTGATCCTACCTGCTCCCTATTATGGAAATAGAATCACTGTGCACCGTAATGGCACATTAGACATTCGGGGAGTGAGACAGAGTGACTCAGTGCAGTTGGTCTGCATTGGCAGAAATGAAGGTGGGGAGGCCAGGCTGATTGTGCAGCTACAAGTCACGGACCATGTGGAAAAGCCCACCTTCAGGGATCCAGTCACTGAAAAGATCACTGCTACTGCAGGGCACAGCATCAATCTAAACTGCTCAGTACATGGAAATCCTCAGCCCAGCACAGCCTGGATCCTTCCCAATGGCACAGAACTTCAAAGAGCCAGTCATTTGCATAGATTTTACCATAAGAGAGATGGGATACTTCACATCAGTGCCCTCTCTGGAACAGATGCTGGCACTTATCGCTGCATGGCTAGGAACCCAGGTGGTTCTGCTGAGCGAGTGGTCTTCCTCAAAGTGGGCCTTAAACCAGAAATCAGCAACCAGTATAATAACCTGGTGAGCATTATCAATGGGGAGACCCTGCAGCTTCACTGCGTAACCCAGCCCAGTCAGCGGGCTCGCATAACCTGGACTCTGCCCAATGGGATGGTATTAGATAGTCCTCAGACCATTGGTCGATTCTCCCTGTTGGAGAATGGCACCCTCACCGTTCGTGAAGCATCTGTATTTGACAGAGGTACTTATCTATGCAAGGTAGCAACTGAGTATGGCTCTTCCCTTATGAATGTTCCAGTGATTGTGATTGCCTACCCACCCCGCATCACAAGTGAACCAGCTCCGGTCGTCTATGCAAGGCCTGGAAATACAGTGAAGCTGAACTGTATGGCCATTGGGATTCCTAAAGCAGAAATAACATGGGAACTCCCAGACAAATCACATCTGACAACAGGCGCTCAGTCCCGTCTGTATGGAAACAAATTCCTTCACCCTCAGGGCTCATTAATCATCCAACAAGCTACACAAAGGGATGCAGGCTTCTACAAATGCACTGCTAAAAATATACTTGGCAGCGATTCAAAAGCAACCTACATACACATATTCTAAAGTTCAAACAAATGCCTTTGAATACACAAATATCCAAAGATCCTGCCAAGTGAGCACAGCTAGGAAAATATAATTGCTACATGGAATCAGTTGTATTAAGGGGAGAAAAAGAGGGTTGCACCATAAGTAGCATGCAGTATCAAAATACTAATCTGGCAGATGTCATGCTTGAGAAGACCTCCAAACTGTCCCAATTAATGCATCTGGGTTTCTCACCTTACAACTTTAGACTACAGCTGAAATACAATTCAGAGTTTGTCAGTGTTTCAAGTTAACTTTGTGAATTTCAAAAAGAAAATTAAATTTGATGGATAGATGCATGCATGAAGATGCATGAAGAACATCAAGAGCGAGATCTGGGTAAAGTCAAGCACTTTTAGATGGCCTTAATTTCAGTCAATGGGTTGATCACCAGAGTTGATGGAAATGAAAATGGCTGGATTACTCGCTGTATCCTTAACGCTGGATCAACATGTTGTATTATAATGACATAAACATGTCCAATTCTCCATCTCTTACATAACATATATGACTACTCATCCAATGACATGATGTCATTGCATTGTGATTTTCACCACGCCCACCCTACATCATTGGTTGCCACTGCCAAGGATGGAGAGAGTTACAATGAGATCATGCAATGGGATAAGTGTTCCTTCAAATTACAGGGCAGAGGAGGAGAATTCAGTTTGGTGACCCCCATGTTTTATAACAGCCTCAAATATACCCAGCCTAAATCTGCTTGATTGGTGCTAATGAAATAGTATTAGTACCAATTTGACAAGTTAATTTTTTTCTACCTTGTAATACCTAAAACCCTTAGATCCAATGACATCCATGAATAGGAATGCTGCAAAACTGTCATATAAATTTATATTCTCCATAAGCAAATTCAGATCCTTCTCCCAGTTCATTTTCCTTCAATCTATACCTAAAACCCTCTGCCCTGTTAATAGTCCAAATTGATTCCGTGATGCAACAAGCACCTTAAAACATACCAAAATAGTATTAAAATGTAACAAAAGAGCTGAGGTGTGTTTTTTTTTTAAAAAAAATTTTCATTGCTGGACACAAACCATTTCTTTCATCCCCTGCACTGCTGTGATATTGCCAGACCTTTACAGAACTGAAATTCTAACTGCTCGGTGTTCATTCTATCAACTCTCCAGAATCAATAGTTCAATTAGCATTTTTTTTTAAAAAACCCCTCTGGTTTAATTCCAGGACAACCTAGCAATAATTACTGTAACAATGCAAATGCCTCACAGCTAGGGAATCCCTAGCAGGTTTCAGTCATTCTGTATATCCCCCCCCCCCCAATCAGACTATGAGACTGGAAGAATAACAGTGACCTGTGTCTCAGTGTATAAATTATTGGTCTTTACAAGACTCTGATATTTCTACTGTGTTTTATATAATATTAAGATCAGTATACTGTATGTTTTATAATAAAAATATTTTCCACACAACTTTGCCATGGTAGTTCTTTCCATAGAACAGGGAGGCATCCATTGTTTTAAAAGTCAAGTGACTGCCTTCGCGGGGCTTCCTTGCACTCCCGCCGGCCTTGCAGGTCCACCGCCGGGCCCCTCATGGGGCTCGGCAGTGGAGCTGCAAGGCCGCCGCCCGCGGCCGGGACTGTTGGGGGCGGGGGGTGGGGTTTTATGACACACTTCCGGTGATGTCAGGGGGTGTGGCATATGCTAATGAATTATGCCAATGAGTTCCCCTAGCTCTTTTTCTATGAAACGATCCCTGGTCATCACCAACTTGCTTTTTTCAAATTAGGCCCAGCCAGAGAGGAAGGAGAGAACTTGAGTGAAGTAGCAACAGAATCCAGGAACAGCAACAGTGACCATTGCTAGATTGGGACAGAGGGCATGAGTGAAGGAACTGTAAGTGGTTGCAAGCCAGTGAAGGAGCTTTATCAAGAAGCTGTTTATTGGGGTTCTACTCAGTGAAGCCAGCTAGGCTTACCAAGTTCCTGCTAGGGCAGAGGATCCCTTGCCCCCAGCTCCTATTTCCTCCCACCACACCAGCAGGGGGGGATGCTGTCAGATGACAGCATTATATCTCTCTCATAGAAAACCCAGAATTGATCAATCTACTGTTGGAAACTCTATGGTTTTACAATAGAGTTTCTAGTGATTCCTAGGTAGGTATGCTTCCACATCTAGGTTTTCTCAGAAGTGACATCATGCTATCACCTGATAGTGCCCCCATGTCCCCCTCTCCAGATTCCTCCCAGTTTCGAGCTGCTGGCTGGTAACCCTACTGCCAGGGCATGGATGCTAACAGATGTCTATCAATGTCAACCCCAAATGTTGGGCTATATACAAATAGGATGTTGCATGATAGCCGTTTTACAAGCAATTGCATGGAGCCTTCTGCAGTCATCAACTGCACACGAACAGCCATTTTCCACAAAAATCCACCAGTTTTCACAGCCCCTCCTCCAACCGTTTGAGGACAGCATATACTAGTATAGTGGCAGAAGATCGGTGTGCAGATGATTTGCTTTGCACAAGGAATATCCTAGTAGTAGTAGTAGAGTAAGCAGAGGAGGAGGAGGAGGAGGAGGAGATTGGGTTTATACCCCGCCCTTCCCTTGGAGTCTTAGAGCAGCTTACAAACTCCTTTCCCTCCCCCTCCCCACAACAGACACCCTGTGAGGTGGGTGGGGCTGAGAGAACTCTGACACAAACTGCTCTTTTTCAAGGACAGCTGTGCCAAAGCTTGTGACTGACCCAAGGTCACATAAGCAGGTGCAAGTGGAGGAGTGGGGAATCAAACCCGGTTCTCCCAGATTAGAGTCCGCACACTTAACCATTACACCAAACTGGCTCTCCAGTTGGAGGATACTAGGACAAGATTGTTTAGATATAAACTGTGCTCATGAGTCAACTGCCATGTGAAAGTGCAGTTACTGGGTTGGATCCAACAACTTTTTCACTATTGAAAAAAGGAGAAGCTATTGACCACCAAAAATGCTGTGCTGAGAATCATGGGTAGGGCTGCCAAGCCGTGACGGGGGATCTGTGCGTCTTCACAGGATCCCTGCTGTGGGGGATAGTGATACGCGTTGCACTGCTGTCGCCAGGATGTGACGCTACGCGTTGCTCTGGCAATGGGACTCCAAACAGCCCCATTGCCAGAGCAACGCATAGCGTCACATCCTGGCGACGGTGGTGCAACGCGTATCACTGTCCCCCACGGCAGTTATCCTGTGAAGACACACAGATCCCCCGCCGCGGCTTGGCAGCCCTGATCATGGAACCTGCAAAGACAAAAGCCATGTGGGATGGGACATAGTAAGGCAAGGAATTATGTGAGATTGAGTGAAAAAAACTGACTGGATTCTAACCCAATGATTTTTCTCCATGTAAGCCTATAGCTTCTCTCTCTCTCTCCCCCTCTCTTTCTTCCTGGATGACTGGGATTTAAAGAGGGCTTGTGTACACACAGCAGCTGTTTCTGCAAACAAGACTAGTTGTAGGCAACCCTTCAATTGGCAAATATCTTCAGTACTGCTGAATACCTAAATCAGAGAACACAATATCAAAACAAACAGTTTCCACCTCCCACAAAATGCAGAGGCAAATGAGATGTTTTAAAATCAAACACAGTTAATTTGTAGCAGTTTAAGCTGAAAGACGCCTTCAGCTAAATGTGCACCAAACTGTTTAATTTCAGCAAGTGACTTGTAAATTTCCTTGCAACATCTCAAGGAGATGATTGATTTATATTTACCACAATTTAAGAAGGATATAGACAACCTGTAACATGTCCAGAGGAGAGCAACAAAGATGGTGAGGGGTCTGGAGACCAAGTCCTATGAGGAAAGGTTGAAGGAGCTGGGTATATTTAGCCTGGAGAGGAGACGACTGAGAGGTGATATGATAACTATCTTCAAGTTCTTGAAGGGCTGTCATCTAGAGGATGGTGTGGAGTTGTTTTCTGTTGCCCCAGAAGGTAGGACCAGAACCAACAGGTTGAAATTAAATCAGAAGAGTTTTTGGCTAAACTTTAGGAAGAACTTCCTGACAGTTAGAGCAGTTCCTCAGTGGAGCAGGCTTCCTCGGGAAGTGGTGGGCTCTCCTTCTTTGGGGGTTTTCAAACAGAGGCTAGATGGCCATCTGACAGAAATGTGGATTCTGTGAACTTAGGTGAATCATGAGAGGGAGGGCAGGAAGGGTTGCCTCAGTGCTTAGTTTTTGTCGCCCTTTCTTACATGTCCAGGGAAATGCTGATTGCCACTTTGGGTTCAGGAAGTAATCCTAGAGATTCTATGATTCTATCTTGAAGACACAAGGTAGCTTGCAGAAAGTGCAAACTCAAAATAAATGCTCACTAAAAGATTAATATTTTTGAATTAATGTATTGACCTTAAAATTTAAATTTAGCCTCCAAGTGGGGGCTTGGGCCCATATTTTGTTCAACAAGCTGACTGGCTTGCAGGGAACAGAATTCTAAAGTATCCCTTGTTTGGAAAGCAGCTTCCTAACTCAGATGTCATCACCAAGTTCTGGGGAGCATACTCAGATTTTTTGCTGGGGGGGGAATAAAAATGTATATCTTGATGTTTGCTTCAGTTTAAACTTAAATTCTTATCTTCATGATATGACAGGGCATTCACTATTTATCCAAGCAAGAAAAAGTTCTAAAACAGCTTTACAGGGTGTGATTCCCTAAGAAGTGACAGTATTGGAGACTTTAGGGTAGAAGAAGAAGAAGAGATTGGATTTATACCCCACCCTTCACTACCCAAAGAAGTCTCATAGTGGCTTACAAACTCCTTTCCCTTCCCCTCCCCACACCCTGTGAGGTAGGTGGGGCTGAGAGATCTCTTTCAAGAACTGCTCTTTCAAGAACAGCTCTGCCAGAACTATGGCTTGTCCAAGGTCATCCAGCCAGGTGCAAGTGGAGGAGTGGGGAATCAAACCCGGTTCTCCCAGATTAGAGTCCACGCACTTAACCACTACACCCAACTGGCTCTCTGTACATCTGTAACGTCTGTTTACAGGTACAGCATGTGCAAAGCAAAGAGGCATGTGATGCAGAAACTGTTAATCCTATATCACCTTCAGTTCCCCACAAAGCAGCCACAACAGCCTTCAACCTATGAATACTAATTATTGTATAGTATAGTACAGGCCTGTAGCCATTGTGTGGCATTTGCCCTCCCCCAACGGATGAGCGCAGACCCTGCT